TGGGGGGAGGAGAAGCCGGAGAAGCTGAGGCTGTGGTGGAGCTTTGGTCTGTCCCTGTGGGTGAAGCTCAGCTGCTGCTGCTGCTGCTGATGCAGATGCAGCGGAGGCAGCGCCTCCCTCTGGCCGTAGCCGCACATCTCCCGGGCGGATCTCGGCTCTGCTGCCTGCTGCACGTTAGCGTTGGCGGCCGGAGCGGGCCGGCGCTCGTCGGCGTTGTGGATAAAGTGACAGCGGGGGCCGTAAGGACAGAAGCCGATGGTGTGGAAGGTGCGGCACGGCTCGGTTTTGTACTTGGGGTGGCGGGACAAACTCCTGAGCTCGTGGTAGCCGTGAGCGAACTGACACTTCTCTCCGTACTTGCACGAGCCGTTCTCCTCGAAGGGCCGGCACAGCTCCGTCTTGTAGCGGGTGGAGTTGATCTGAGAACCGGCCTTGGGCTGCAGGACGCCGCGCTCCCCGCCCTCACTGAAGGCTCGGTCGCGGAACTTATTCTCCTTGTTCATGAGGGCCGTGCTGCTGCTGCTGCACAAGTTGCTGCTGCACACGTTGCTGCTCGGACTGTTTTCCTTCAAGTTGCCGTACGAGGCCATGGAGTATTTGTTGCCGTTGTTCGTCGCCTCCACGTTGCTGGTCGAGTTGCGGCGGAAGAAACCCGGCGCGAAGGAGCCGGAGCCCGGTGTGGAGAGCGGAGCTCCCACCGCCTTCTTGTCCAGCAGGTTGTTAATGTGCAGGGCGTTCATGTTCAGACTTCGGTCCTGCTGCTGGAGGGAAAGGGAGAGGGTGAGGGTGAGAGAGAGGGGGTGAGAGTCAGGTTCAGATCAACACATCTGACTGTTCCGAGCACATGGTGAAAACTTTCCTGCAACTTGTTGCACCAACTCCCCCATCTACATCCCTCCCTCCCTCCTTCAGCCCCGGCTCCGCTGCTCGTCCACCCAAACTCTAAGCCCGAACATTAGTTTTAGTTTTAGTTTTAAAGACCGACTCTACCTTGTAGAAGACGTCCATGTCGTAGAAGGCCGACAACACGGAGGCTGACATCCCGTTTCCCCAGGTCCGCTGCTGCGCTCCTTCTCTCATGGAGGACGGAGGAGTCCCGGTGTCGACAGACGCTGCTTCGTGCCACGACTGGAGGGAGGTGTCGGTGGAGGAGTGTTGAAAAGTTGCCCTGTGGTTTTTAAGTCCTCTGGAGAGCAGTGACGAGGGGGGGCGGGGGTGGACGTTTGGGTTTGAGTTTGATTAGTGCAGGTCCTGTCCTGTCCTGTCCTGTCCTGTCCTGTCCTGTCCTGTCCTGTCCTGTCCTGTCCTGTCCTGTCCTGTCCTGTCCTGTCCTGTCCTGTCCTGTCCTGTCCTGTCCTGTCCTGTCC